TATAATAGATCAAATATTGTTACACTGACATGTTTGAGGTATTGTGTTCAAAAATGCTGGAAAAACCAAGAAAAACAAAAATGTTCAAGTAGTCTGGTTCCTTGACTCCACTAAAGATAAAATGGATCAAATTATAGATGCCAGAAAATTTGTAAGGTAAGGGAACCAGTCTAGCTGGCCTGCACCCGTTCATGAACATGTAACCAATAGCAAACAAAATTTGGACTGAAAAAAGTGTAAAGTTGGAGCAGTAGTTGAAAAATAGTTAGGTTTTTCCCAACGGTGGTCGGCCTTGGAAATGTATACAAAAATACCATTTTCTTGAAAATGACTTCACACCAGGTGCCATAATTTAACAGGATGCTTTAGACTGTCGTTTACCAACATCCTAGTAAGGTATTTCGTAAAAACTTGGTAGTTTTTTTTTTGATGTTTGCAAATGTTGTATGTTCCCTTTAAATAAAGACTTCAAAATTTGCATGGTTAATAATCGTTGTTCGAAGGAGTTCTACAAATACTGAACAAACTTCTCCACTTGGGAACGACAGCTAATACTGTGCGACTTCCTCCACTGAAGTAACAGACAATGCGCTTCCTGGAGGGGTGTGAGTCACGAGAGGTCATTCCAGGTCAAAGTTCATAGGTCATAGCAGGCAGCTTGTTTTACTATTGTGCTCGGGGCATAGTCAGATCTGTCACATCGGTAAAACACATCCAGGAAAAGGATGTGAGTTTTTTGACGGTGCTTTCGCCTCTTACACGAATATGTGATTTTTGCTGACTTGTGTTTTTATAGATAAGTGTTCTAACTGTGAGCTACGAAGGTGAAAATCTAAGTTTTTGTGCTGATCTCCAAAAATGTAATGCATCTAAAGCATTGTTTGAAATTCTGAATATTGGCTGGATGTTATGTAGTGAAAGTGGCACTGTTTTGTGACAAGTAAGAGGAATTAAGACATCAATTTTTTTGGCAGTTCATGGGAACAGAGCACAGAAAGACAGAATCATGTGGAAAGATACATAAAGAAGAATCTTTAAAGGGAATATACAATATTTGCTTTCGCTGTAATTTTCAGAAATGGATGGATTTGGGGGTTAGTATTTTATAGCAATTTTTGTTACACTGTCTTGTGTGATGTTTTGTGTTCGCAGATGCTGGAAAAATTAAGAAAAACAATCATCTTCTTGTAGTCTGGTTCCTTGACCCCATTTAAGATGAAACGGAGCAATTAATAGTTGTCGGTGAATTGTAAGGTCAGGGAATCAGTCTAGCTTGCTTGTACCCATTCATAGGAGTGTTATCGATTGCAAACAAAATGCGAACTAAATGTGGTAAATTGGGGGCAGTATTTGAAAAAAGCCAGTTTTTTTCCAATGCTGGTCGGCCGACCAGCATTGGAAATTGATACAAAAATACCGTTTTCTTGAACATTTCAGTAAACCAGGTGCCATAATTTTACTGGATGCTTTAGACTGTCATTCACTAACAGTCCAGTAAGGTATTTTATAATAATTTGGTAGTTTTGTTTTTTGACAAATGTTGTATATTCCCTTTAAACATCTTCTTTTTTTTAATTCCTAAACCCCTGACCACTTTCCTATCTAACAACTTCTTGACAATTTCTTGCTGAGTTAGACAAAGACTGAATCACAATTCAGTCGTCTTTCTCATTATGGCATGTCTTTCTTTTAACGGTATAAATCTCTTTCATTCGGTGTCAATAGACAAACGTTTAGCATATCGTGAGGTATAACTTAGGCCGAGTCATACCTTATGTCTTCTCTGAAATAAACAAGAACAGTCTTAAATCAGGGCCTGAACTGACGTTTAAGTGAATTATCCTTTTCTTTCCTACTTTTTTTGTTTTTGTTTTTTTGTTCAATAATGAGAATGTGTTTGTTTATAGTGTGACATGCATTTGGTTTAGGATTTGAAATTTAAGCTTTAAAGACTCTTTTGTTAAGCAGTACCTCCATTGTGGTCAAGTTCCCAGAGGCCACGGTGAAGCCAAAAATGAGATGCTGCACCAGTTTAACGGCACCAGACTAATTTCAACGAATTTTACAGATGTAAAAACCAAAATGTATGATATAATAGTCTAAACACTTAGTCTAAACACTGAATTAGATGCACATACAATGATTTGATTATGACAGTTTTGTTTGCAACAACTGAAAAAAAGAGAAAAGGAAAACGTGGCAAAATAAATTGCATTTAATTGTTTATAGCACAATCAAAACGACTAAGATTGGGATGCGAACTTACAATAATAATTTTTGTGTACAGAATCACACAAATTAATTGTATGTATAATATTCTATTTACACAAGTAGTAGATGACAGAAAAAAAATATCACCTATATTTTTTTGTATCAGATGGGATATGATTTGTTTTTATTTATCTCGAGAAATTAAAATCTATTAATCAGAATTTGAACTTACTATAGCCTTTCATGTATATTTGGTATCTTGCACATGTCACATAAAAGCTTAGCTTTACTTTCGCTTTTGCGAAATAACTAGCGCGTGTTTAAGTTTTTGACGTCATTTTGGACACTTTTTGACTCTTTGGTAGCTTACATTCCATTTAGTAAATGTAAATTTGCAGCATTTTTGCGCTTTCGTATCTGATATTGACCAAATAACTTGAAAATCAAATATACTTCCAATCATCAGTGCGAATTCAGCCTTTTTGAAATTGCAAATTTATAAATAATTACGTGAAAAACAATCACACTCCATTGACATTTTTATTGATTAAACTTTTTCATAAATTTGGCAAAATTGCCTTTATATTTTTGTAATCTTCCAAGCGATAAAAAAATCAAGGTTAATGATCAATTGAATTGTATGTGTTAAATTTTTCACACAAAGCAACATCAACATTTACAGAAAAGCGTGACAAGTTTAGAATGGAAGTGTTTTGTGCGAAATATTTATTGTGATGTTGTACGTACGATCTTCAATATATTGCGTAAAATGGGGCTTCAGCTTGTGGTCATGGCTTACACGTGCGTAAAATTTGGCTGTTTGCAAAGTTGATAAATGTTGTACTTTATTTCAAAACCTCGTTTTCTTGGTAGAAAGAACATAAGGCGAGTAGCTGTTGTAATAATAAATTTCTCGATTTTAGTTTGAATTGCTCAAATTATTATTGTTATTATGGGGACAGGTTTTTTGTTACTGATGAGCTGGTCTCATTTCGGGCGTTTTGCAGAACCAAAAACAAAACATAGTTTTGCCTAAAATTATTTATCGTTTTGGTGACTGGTCGTCGAATTTATGCAAAGAAATATCCAAAGAATGAGTTCTACATTAAAGCTTGGGATGCAGTTGTTTTGTGTGAGCCTAGGTATTATAAATACAGTTTAAGTCATTGCATACAAACTACATGTAAAGTAAATTTTCTTAATACATAAATATTTTTTCATACTTTGCTCTTGCGCTGCTTAGATAACTGTAGATTTCTTTTTGTTAGTTTTATTTTCTCGCCAACTAATAAACGCACTTTGTTATTTTTTGTTAAGTCACAATTTTAGCCATAATGCTTTTGTCCTACTCTCGTTGTAACATATGTTCGGAAACAATAAAAGCCATTGTTTAGAGAAATTTAACATTTGATATGTTGATTTTTGTTTGATATTTATGTTGATTTTTTGGGGTGTGTCAGCATTTAAGGCAATGTACTGTATTACAATGTTTATGGAATATTCCCTTGCACAGCAAGGGTCTATAATTATGCGAGCATGCAGATTGGGTGATTAATTATGCAAAACAAGACTGCGTCTTGACCTCGAGATTTTGACCTTTCTATCGGGTCTTCGGTAACCCGTTGTGTTTTTACGAAAACATGGCAGCCAAATTGACCAATCAACAGCTTAGTCCACATTTCCGATCGAAATGACGTCACGATTTCTAAAGTCGTCTCCGATTGGCTTGTGCGCGGAATCGCATGCAATTTGCATTGCTCACATAATACGTTGGTTACGGCGCGGACAACGGGTGATAGTCGGACTAAGGAAAAGTAGTTTATTTTGTTGCCCCGATACAGACTATTTTGGGGTCGTCGACTTTAAGCAATTGAAAAGTAACAAAATGAAATGGTTTTCTTATAATTACGTGATGTACATAATAAAACAAACCGTTTAGTAAACCTAGGCCGTGTCTCGAAGATATGACTGTTTTGCGTCTTGAAACGAGACTATTCCATTGTGTCGACTGAGTGTGTCCCGAGGTTAGAGCTGACTCATTGATCGTAATTGAAGGCGTATCTGAGTCACGCGTTAGTCTCCTCCACCCGTCGTTTTTGTTTAGAATGGCTCTCCGAGGAGTTTCCTTGAATTTCAACCTGAAAGTGATGACCTAAATGGATGTTCATCGACCAAGGTCGGATCGGGGGGGGGGGAACGGGGACCCCCCCCCCCCCCCCCCCCAAAAAGAAAGAAATACAGCCCATTTTTTTTAAGTGACGTCGCAAAAAAAGGTATCCACTGCGTACACCACTATCTTTTGCTCGGAAAAAAATTGGTTAAAGCGGTCAGAAATTGCCCCAGAACCCACCACAGAGCATCTAAAATCAAACATTTTTCGAGGCACTTACGTGGGCCCCGAACCCCACGCCGTAAATTACTTGGACTCACTTTTTTGGGTGAAAATTTATTGTTTGCCCCCCCCCCCCCCCCCCCACCAAACAAAAATTGTGTTCTGGATCCGCCTTTGTCGTAGACGGACATTTACAGACAAAGGCAAAGACGTCCGTTTGACAAATTTTGCAGATATTTTGGTCGCCATATTTGTTTTTCCCTGTTGACGTTTTACATCACAAAGGGGACGAACCCCGGCCCTTTTTGTCACACTCCAGTTACGCCCCTCTACATAGATTAACCACGAAATGTTATGAATTAAAAAAAAGGCAGTTTCTTACATGTGCGTTTTAATTTGATCTTTAACAGAAAAGAGTCATCTACATTTTTGGCAAAAGTAGCGTGTATGACAGAATGATTTTGAAAGCTAAACAATCACGCCCGTCAGGCCTAGCCTGGCTGTCAGACATCCGCAAGAGGTGGCGGCATACGAAGCCATTGTGTGACCGTGCTCCAACGTTGTGTCTCGTATGGCAGCTAGGCCTCCAAACCGGCGACGCGCACACGCCCACGTTGAAAGGCGATATCACCGCTCCCTAAGTCTTGTTTTTGGAAGCCAGTTTTCATCGTTTTACAGATATAAAGCAAATGTTTAGGGACGGTCGTTTACTTTTGGAACAATTATTGGACCCAACCAACAATCGAGTTTTATAAGAAGTAGACCTATTATTTCCCGTAAACAAATTAATTCAAATTGAAATTTATCCCAAACAGTTCTTTATAATTATGTTATCCTGTTTAAAAATGGAATATAAATATGAAGTAGTTTACAAATCAAATGAATCAGAATAAAAATAAGTTTTCGACATATAACTTAAAGTCAAGAAATTGAGATACATCCTGTCTTCATATACTTTGCAGCATTAAACCTTTTGAAATACATTGGTAACATTTAACAACAATCAGAACAACACTGTTTTCAAAAATAATTTTTCATTCGCAGAACACTGTAAAATAAGATTTGTAAAAAGCCAAAAATATACAAGGCTTTGAGATTGAATATAAAATCACATTTACAGAATATTGATGATTTTTCATTCGCAGAACACTTTAAAATAAGATTTGTAAAAAGCCAAAAATATACTAGGCTTTGAGACTGAATATAAAATCACATTTACAAAATATTGATAATTTTGAGTAAAGAAGGTTAATGAAATTCGTATTATTATTTGTTTTAGTTTGTATTGTCACTGGTATCCATGCACTCAACTGGTGCCCCAGTCATAACCACCGCTGCTACCAGAGTTACGTCCTTGAAGCATTGCGTAATCCACACCAACAAACGAGGGATGTGATTGGTTGACTGTTTCTGTTTTGGCGGGAAGGTCAAGATCGGCGTACACTAAATCACCAGTAGGCCAATCAGAGGGCGTTGGGGTTGGCAGTGGCGACTTCTGGGGTAGAGGTGGCAACGGCGATCGGGGAAGAGGTGGCAAATTTGGCGGCAGGGGCGCCTGCGCCTTGATGCACCTTAAGGTGTCCGATCGCCTTGTTTTCGGAGTTGTAGGCGCACGCGCCTGGAGCCTGACGGGCAAAGTGTAGGTCTGGCCCGGTGATGAACAGCCGAGAATTTCCACCTTCTCGTAGCTGTGGTGATTCTTCCGGAGTTGCTTCTTCTGCATGGCGAGGTCGCAGGCGGCAAGCACTGCGGCTGCGGCGCCTGGAGGTGCAGGCGCCGGGCCTTTGCGCACTTTATTGGGTTTGGCGTAAATGGGACACTCGTCGACCTTTTTGATGGTGCCTGTGGACAAATCAAGCTTGTCTGGAAAGCATTTCTTTTCGTTAGCGTTGGCCATGCTGAAGTGGCCGCTGGCCTTGATTTTAAGGAGTAAAATGGCGATGGCCACTAGGGCCAGTATGATCCCAACAGTCGCCATAGTGGCCCCAGCCACTACACCCGCAGTGGCAGTATTTCCCTGTGGCTTGAGACCGGTCGGCCCGGTCTTCTTCTTATCATTCTCAGTTGGGACTCGATCATTAATTGGGAAGAGTGCGCCTGGGTTAGCCTCGTTGGCCGCAGACGTGACTGGCTGTGAAGCAATCGAGAGCTTAGCCCAGGCGCGGCCTGTCAAACCAGAGGCGATGGACACATCGCAGGCGATCACCGCTCCGTCTTCCCATCTTCGAACGTCGGTGATCCTCAGTGTCCTGTTGTTATCTAGCACCTCGTATCTCTGGCCACGATTCTCCGCCCTCGTGACATCGATAAAATTGACAAGCCACCTGTAACGTATGACTTTCGAGATACCGGCGCCTGTGCAGGTGTAACTCGCTGAATCTCCTGGATATACAACGTGTAGGTCGGGGTTAATGGATCCCGTCGGGGGTGTATTGAGTACCATCACCTCGCACCTACGGACGGGCATGGAAGCGGCTTTGGATTTAGCAAAACAGGTGAATACGACCCCGTTGTCCTCGGCCGTGACCAAGCTCTTCAAGGCGTTGCTGTGCGTGGTCACCTCAGATATCGGCTCCCCTTTCCGATGCCAGATCAGAGCAGCCGGAGGAGTTCCCCCGTGTGAATTGCAGGTCAGCTCCGCTATTCTCCCTGGTTGTTGCTGCGTTGGATTGGGTTGGACATGGCACAGCGGGTACCCGGTGTCCGGGGGGACCACTACGGTTAGGATAGCGGACCGGTACTCCGAGCCACACATGCAACGGTATTCTCCTCGGTCGGTGAGTTGGACGCCTATAATCCTCAGGTGATACTCCCCGTTCGCCTCGTGGTCCCCCACCACGGAGTATTTCTCCTGTGCAAGCGTTGTGATCCTACCATTTTTGCTCAGAACCTGGTCGGACTCCAGGTGCATCCATTTCACCGGGTCTCTCTCCCCGCCACCTGCCTGGATGCTGCAGCGCAGGACGGCTGTGTTACCGGCCGCGAGGACAAGATCCTCGGGAGCGTCTCGGAACACAACCGCAGCACTCGATAAACTGAACAGGAGAGTTCGCAAAGCTAAGACAGCCAGCCCACGCTTTCTGCAACTCATGACCGCAGGATTAAACATCCTAAAGACTGTCTTGAAATGTCCTGGGAAAGTTGAAGTGACATAATGGAACAGGTCCTTGATGACGTGAGCTCAGTTAAAGACCGTCTATGAATCGGCCGAAGCACCGAGCCCACGCTCTCAAACAGGCACGGCAGTGGGACTAAACATCCTAAACTTGCGGTAAAACATTCTGGCAAAGTCAAGGTGACATCGGGAACATCTCTCTGACTACACTAGCACATTTGACGCACCGTTTCGTCATTGTGGTCGAGGTCTCTACAAGTGGAGCATCACCGACTTACTGTGTTAAAGAGAGAGCGAGTCATCAGAACTACTGAGTACACCCTGAACTTGTGACGCGGTATAAAAGCGCAGTACTGTGCGCTGGAACGTACGTTATAACTCGTCACTTCCTTGCTAGAGATCGAGGCAGGGGAATGCTGATCATAATCGGCAGCATAGACTCAAGTTTTGTCTCATACAGCTGAAACTGCTTAGCACGATGACAAATGTTTCAATCCTTCCACCGAGGTCCAGTTTGCCTTAGGAATTTCCGTGGGGGGGGGGGGGTCCATGACCATTTCTCTGCATTTGTCAGTCCGCTTAAAATAAAAGTGGACATATTCATTTCTCTCGGGAAACGTCGCTAGTAAATCTGGCTTACGTTTGCAACTCTCGAACATATGTTTGTAATCAAAATCACAAAAATCCTAATTTCTAAAATGCCACTCACTAAGTGGGCAGGAAATGTTTCGTTAGGTTTGCATACTTTTTCACGTTTTTAGATCTTTGTCTTTGGGCATGATTGAACATTTCGATTATCATCATAAGTTAGCAAAAAAAGATTAAAGCTCTTTCTGAATATTAAAAAAAAAATTATATGTATTTCGTAGCATCTTTTTTTATTCATGATGTAAGTTTGCCGATTTTGGACGTAGCGCGTCATATTTCGTTCACGACACAGTATAGTGTTAAACCAGAGCACTCATTAAATAGGCGGATCAATGGAGGCCTGTAAGGGGAGATATACCCTAATAAGGTTCACCGACACCACGAAGTAACACCCAAGCCAACTCCAGTGTTACTTCGTGAAAACCGCTACATGACACATTTTGGTTTCACGAAGTAACACACAAGTGTGCGCGCGCACATCGGACACTGGCGCCCTCGATTTTCGTTTTCTCAAAGTTACAACAATGTTACAGAAACACTACTTGGATAAAAACGTTTTAAAACGTTTGACAGGAATGTAATTAATCCGTATTCTTGAGGGATTACATAAAATTTTAATAGAGAGCCTTTAAACTGGTGATATATATGAGTGTTACTTCGTAAAAACGAAATGTACCGATGAAGCGCACAGTGTACATGAGTGTTACTTCGTGAAAACGAAAATCACTCGGTTCTGTAAAATACGCGCGCGTTGCGCGCACTGAGTCCACTCGGGTGTTACTTCGTGGTGTCGTTGATGGTTTGCTTACAAAAAAGAGGGACGTACAGTGCCCTGAAATAACTACAGCTCACTTTGCTCCGTTTCTCAAGCTCACGAAATGTTAGAAATTGCAGCGTGGCCTGAGTCCACGATAAAAGCTTCTCAAATCTGTCTGTCAGAGCTCAGTTATCTACTTATCCCCTTCGCTAATCCTCCACTAATCCCTTGACCTTGATCTCTTGAGGCCACGGCAATCCTATCTTCTGCAATTAAAAACCTCCTTCCGTTTTCTCCGAGTCCGCACCCTGGGTATTTTATAACTGAAGTGCCCCCTGGCATTTGGGGCTGCCATCCCGCTCCCATTAGCCTCGCATCCCCTTAGCCTTCTGTGTTCCGGGCAGTGACTCATAGTTCCGGAATTAAAACACAGAACCCTCAAGTATTTCAGCAAGTTCTGTACGTGGTTTGGGTTCTAATTAGGGGTTGTATGTTGTCGCGTGGGGGCGCTCTTGGTCTTAGATAGGTCGCCGATATTTGTGACCGGATGAGGGCGCTGTGATGAACCCAATTTCTGGCTACAAAAACTGAGAATCCCGTTCATTAAAGCAGTTTAAGACCTTTATTTAAATCAAGATAATGGAGACTGTGAAAACTTTTTTTAATTGTAGCATGTAAATTAAATCGATGATCCTGCATATGGATTGTGATATGTGAGGGCGCTACACAACTACCCTTTGGGGTCGTTGTGTAGCGCCTTCACTTGTTCAAGAAAGAAGCCTATTGGGAACTTTTGGAAAAAGACGATACGAGGGTATTCTAATTGTACTATGGTGTGCACGAAGGTTATGCATAATGCATGTGGATGGTAATACAGTTCGTTTTAATTCTTATGAATATGTATGTATTCATTCACAACTAATGTGGTTCATCATGCATAATGCATGAAGTACTCCAGGATCTAGTCCCAATGTTCCCTTATATGGCAACACCGACGGACGATATGCCTGGTTATAAACGGTAGCTTAGTGGTTGAAAAAAAAATGCTGATGGCTTGAAAAATCGTTGCCAAATAGGTTACTAATGGCAGCCATGTTGGTCGAGTTCCTTGAGTGCTCACGATATTTGAGCAGATGCAACAAAGGAACCAGTCTATTGGAAATGAGTATGTGCAGTATAATTGTTCACTTTTATTAAACGTTTGAATTAAATATAAATAACGGCATCGCAGTTGTCGTATTTTACAAACTGAAATATATTCCATCTAAATTGGCATGGATTGATTTACGTGCAGGAAAAATAAATTAAATACGTTACAAACCGCAGTGAAAACTGCAGTTGTACTTCCTTGTTTTAACCCCGGTAGTATAGTCCGGATCATTTCCGCATTATCTCACTCACTGTTCGTGATTTTTTTGCCAACTCACTTGTTGTCCCTTCCTCTCGATATCACAAAAGGTCAGATTAAAAAGTGCACTTATACCAGCAAAACAATGTGAACATTAGGTAATGCACGTATCATATATGTCCGTGTCCGCTTTAAAGGGAATCAACAACAATTGCAATCTTCAAAAACAAAACTACCAAATTATAATGAAATACCTAATGGACTGTAAGTGAATTACAGTCAAAAGAATACTGTAGAATCATGGCACCTGGTGTGCTGACATTTACAAGAAAAGTGGGATTTTTGTATCAATTTCCAACGATTGTCAGCCGAAAATAAAAAAAAAAGGGAAAACTGGCTTTTTTCAAATACTGCCCCCAATTTACCATATTTAGTTAGTCTGCATTTTGTTTGCAATCAATTACACAAGCCAGCTAGACTGGTTCCCTGACCCTAACAATTCCATGACTTCTATAAATTGGTCTGTTTCATCTAAAGTGGGGTCAGAGAACCAGACTACAAGAACAACGATTGTTTTTCCAGCATCTATGAACACCAAACTTCAAACAAGTCAGAACAATATTTGCTTTAAAAAACTAACCCTCCAAAAGCCATCAATTTTTGAAAATTACAGCAAAAGAAAAATTAAGGTTGTATATATATTCCCTTTAAAAGCAAATGTATAAAATTCCCTTTAACTTAAAGGGCTCATTCAGTATTTCCTTGAAGGTCATGCTATACAGGAATTTTCACATTGTGTCTTTAGTTCGGATATAAGTTTATATATAACAGTATATCTTTATGCAGGTAGGTCCCTATATACAATCTTTAACAAATTTGTTTTTTGAAAGACTAAAAATCAAACTCATATGATGAATTTGAATAACACTTCGGCTTTTCCTAGTGAAAAACATTTCCAAATACAAAACTTCACACTGGTATTTCCTTGGGCTAAAATCCAGAAATTATACCCCCCCCCCAAAAAAAAAAGGCACGATGGTGACGTTTTTATAAGCTTGAGGTGAGGACCTGTTCAGAGAATTTACAATTCCAACACAGAATTTCACATCTTCGTAAATTGATATAAAAGAAAATAAGAGGTTTTAAAGAGTTTAAGTTCCGTACATTCATAAAACTGTGCAGGTTTAAAGCTGGTGTCATATGAAAATCAGACTCGTATGAAAATCGGACTCTTTTTCCCTTTTATTGATTAAACCCTCTCACGTGACCGGTCCCTCTCCTAATTATCTATGCATGAGTATGCGCAATACCACCAAAGAGTCCGTATTTCATAAAACCTAAATTCATGCTACACCTGTCCATACTCGAACGCAAACGCAAATTCGTGATTTTTCGCACAGCGATGCTTCGTGACGTCAAATTCGCATCGCATTCGCATGAACTATAGAGTGTGAACCGGCTTTACCCTACAGGCTACCAACTTGTTTAAGGCTAAAAAATAAGTTAAAAATTGCATTTTGTGTGTGTGTGTTTATTATTCGATAATTTCTAAGTAAACAGGGTTTTCTACTACCATTGGTGGTCTTTTCGAGTGGTCATTTGAGTAGGGTATCTCATAATCCCAGCACATGTCACTGTCGCCTTGCTCTAAAGTTGGTGCCGACGGGAGAACGCCGTGCTCCACTGTCTCGTAATCGCTACAACTCATATTCGGTTTCCGTAGTATCGTGTAACCGTCCTCCGATACCTGCACGCCGTTCAGGGCTCTCAGCTGTTGTTTCATGGGCAGGCCCGCTGCCGGAGTCGATTCCGGTTGGTTCCGATTCTGCCGGTTCGCTTTTCGCTTTCGGCGTCTCTTGATGATGTAGACGATGAGGATGATGGCTAAGGCGCCTACAGCGAGGCCGGCCACCGCGCTGACTATGATGAGCTCCATCGACATGTGAGTCGTGTCGTCTGTCCCCGGTAGGTTTGTCACCTCATCAGCTGGTGACACCGACGATGACACCGACGATGACAGTGGCACTGATGATGTCGACGTTGTCGCCGGCTGAGCTGTGGTCGTGTCAGCATCGAATGTCTCTTGTACCCCAACGACGTCAATGGTTGCTTCGGCTCGACCTAGTACCCCACCTCGGAAGTTCAGCTCACAAGCCAACACAGCACCTTCGTCTGATTTCCTAATCCGTCCCATTGTCAAACTCTTCGTGTCAGACGAAGTTTCAAACCGTCCCCTGCCGTTGACTAGGATCTCGTTCCCGTTAAGGAACCACGTGTAGCTGCTATCGGGTGGCACGTCATCACTGTCTGTCGCGCAGGCAAACGTCGTACCGCCTTCCACTGGTAGTGATACCGAATCGGGCATGATTCGAACTCGGGGCGGTGTGGCTGCGGGGATTAAGGTACAGAATCGCGGATCATCCCAGGCGAGGCTCTCCGCGTAACAAGTGAACTCCTGCCCAATATCTGCCGGCTGGATGACCCGATCGATGGAGACCCTTTCCGGGGCGTCTCGAATCAAGACTGTCCGTCCTCGCTTCCATTTGAGGGAAGCTGGCGGGTTGCCTCCTGTAGACGTG